AATGTGTACGAATAAATATTTTAACTCACCGAATTTTCACTTCAAAGTTTGGATTTTTTTATAATGTTAACTGGGATGATTACGTCTAATAATACAGATTAATTATTATAGATACCTGAGTTAAATCGTGGGAGGGGGGATAGATTGTTCGCCGACAGGCCAGTATTGAACAAATACTTGTGCCCAATAACTGATAATAGTTCTGGCGTTCCCAAATTATTCACCGATGCAAAAAAAGCACAGTGTCTCACATTTCATCTGATCACTTGTCAGTGCCAAGGTCTGTGTCAAAGTCCATGATCAAATCTGGAAAACAAGCAACAATCTGTGTAAACGCGGAAGGTGGAAGGACCTTTCATGGTGTAAACAACGAATATGATTAGTGAAACAACAAACGAAATTATCGGAATGCACAAATAAAGGTCAGCAATGTTCGTATCACTCGGATATGATATTTCGAGTCTTTTTTTGCACAGTTAGTGTATGACGTAATCTTATAGTGGCAAAGCGCTCTATTATCGTGCTCGAGTTCCAATCTCGAATCTGTGACGAAAATATGCAAGAAGAGTAAATTTGTGAAAAAAATAAGTTGGTTTGAATTGTGAACAAGCAGTCATACTAATGCTGTCTAAATATGTTAAATTAATAATATAGACAACAATGGTTGACCTCATATAAATAAATATTGTGTGTAATTTATCTGGCAAAAGTATAACATATTCTTCTCAATAGTGTTCTCATTAGCCTCCATTATCTACAGTAGCTTGAGTCTGAATTCAAAGTCTGATTCATTGCAGAGAATCTACTTACTTCAATGCCAAATTAATTCCACACAACATATGGCCAAGCGTGAACAAAGCGTGTTACCCATTCTAGACTAAAATTACCAATCCTACCAAATTACCAAGTAAATATGTTTAATCTAGTCATATATAAAACAAATGTGAACAATCGTATACAAATGTGTTTAATACTATATATTCTAGATCAAATGTTACCAATCCAAGATTAAATGTGACCAGCCATGGACCATACGAGTTAAACGAGTCAAATATCTGTCTTTGTTCTCCTTTATCACATAGCATGGTTTGTCGAATATTCCCAAAAATGTCGATCTGACACTTCGCATGTTCGTCAAGTTCAGCTAATACTTTCATCTGGCATAAAAGGGTTTATAGTAGTGAAGTCATATAATAACGTAATAATTACAGGACACAGTGCATCAGGTTTCATTCAGAATAACTAGCAAAAGCTGTAATTTTCAGATTTAATGTTTTGTAGGCAATACAGTTTTAGGCATATCTTGCACAACCAAACGTTTGTACTTAATGTCTTTTTCCCTAATCGCTTTTTATGATACTATTTTGTCATCTTGCCATCTTGTCATGATTTGTTGTGAGTGCTGTAATACTTATATAACAACTTGGTTGATGAAACAAATCCATGTGCACTAGCTGTTTCCCTCGTTTGAATCAACGGACATATATGTTATGTTTACGTTGCTAATGCATAATGTACTACATTTATTTAGAAAATAATGTGAGTCATAGGAGATGATAGAGACCAAAATACTTCTCTCAATGCTGATATCAGTGCATTATGGTACAAAATTGTGATCGTGTTATAATAGTTAATTGCCAAGTTGTAATTTTATTATATTTATCATGATAATAAATGAAAATGGCTGGAAAGGGTAAACCCAAATGGAAAAATGGTGAAAAGGTTACAATAATAGTTACCAGATATAGAAGTAGAAATAAAGACAATGTTACTGATTGGTTTGTCATGTGACTTGATACAAAAATACCGATTTAGACTAGAGGAAACATCCTAAAAATTGACTCTAGGAATAGCAGAATGTTAGCAGGTGTCATCGATGCTAGTTATTGAACTTGACCCATACTGAATACATTAAGACTGGATGACAATCAAATTGAACTCCCGTTATGCAAATTAGGGCAAATTCAAAATGGCGGATGGGTTGGGAGGCTTAGTTTATTGAAACGAGTTATATCTCTAAACTATGCGTGCTAGTGGTCTAAAAATTAGCAGACATATCACTCTGAGCATTGTTGTTGTGTAGTATAACAACTGTCATGCTAATAATTATAAAAAAAAAACATTTATAAAACAAAACGTAAAGAAAAAGACACAGGTTATTATCAATTGAGGCGTCTTCAAGCAACACTTGCAAAACCAAATATGGATCGATATATTGCAAATGGCAATGTGCCAATATCACCAGCATCATCCAATCTTGAAGCAAAGAAATTTGTTCAGTTCACAGCAGACAACACAGCTACCATAGAAAGATGAAATAGCTCCACACAAATGGCAACATTAGAAAAAGTGCAGCAGTAACGTGAGCCAGATTTGGTACAAAGAAGGGAAATTTCGTTTAAGGAAAGTTCCTGAGCACTTTCACCAATTAGAAAATGCTATCCACTCTTGTTCTTCCGTGCAACGACAGTTACTTGAAGAATGCTACAGACCAAACAAACCTGAACAAGCAAATTTAAAAGACATGGCATTAGTAATCACTATAAAAGCAAATCAGTTCCTGGGTGGACTGGTTTTAAACAGATTGCCAACCAGGATGTCAATCAGCTATGTAGTGTAGGCCTTATTATACACGATGAGGCAGTGTGATGCGCTAGAACTATCATCCTAATGTACGGAGTGCGTTTCTTGTTGCAGGCTTTGTTGTGAAGACATCACAACACATATTTATTAAGCTATCTACTGACCAGGCACTGGAACATTCAAACAAAACAAGAAAAGTTGCTGATGGACACATTGGGATAGACGGCCAGACATTAACGCAGGTAATTGAAAAACCATCAGAAATAAAATTATTTGGAGATCTTGTGAACAAATTTACATTTACATCAGCTTTGTTCAATCAATTCACTGGTACTTTTTCTGGAGCAGATATAAAATATGCCAGATGAATATGAAGAGCTAGCAGTAGCAGGCCAATTCGATGTAAACTTAGTTTCCATACCAATAAACTGGAAGCAGTCCATTGCAATTGATCTCTCTGAAAATTCTGATCAATCAAACTTGGGCCAGCAACTGATTACTAGTGCAAGAGCAAATAAGGAGGAAGGTAGTTATTCCAGGTGACTTTTGAAAAGAGTCAACTTCTGAATCATCTCACAGTAGATATGTCAGTCTCTTGACGTCAAATCACGATGAAGCAGATAAACAAATTATTGTGCATGCTATAGTAGTAGTAGCATAAGCAGGTTGTGTATGGACCATAATCGCATGCATTTAATTGTTCTTCTATGTTATCGATAAAAAGACATTGCTCGAAACGTCTAGCTATTTTTAATAGTTACTTAGGACTACGATTACCAAATATTATCTTCTATATATTGCATATATACTGATTTATTGGTGTGTTGATGTGTTAGATTATATTCGTGTCGGTGTTCTAACTGATACGACAATGGTGGAAATGGATGTCTATAATCTGTACACACCAAATCAGACAGATGACTCAATCAATGATGCCCGACCGACTCCTAGGGGTAGCAAAGATTCACCAACACATCTATGACCACCTTTTTGTTGGAAGAGTTGAAACCAAGGATAATGGCCGATGAGTATGTACTAAGTATTACAATAATACATTGCAACTGTCGAAACTGTAAGACATTTAGGTGTAGCTGGGGCATGTGATTGTATTGACTGATTTTGTTATAACCCAAACGGTGAAGACCTGTACCCTTAGACATATTTTGTCTCAATTAGGCAAGAAATAATTGGTTTAATATTCTTTTTGAATGTTTTATGGTTTTAAAATGTAAGCAACTGGAAGCCTCTATTGTTTTATTTTTCAATTCTCCCTATTCAGTCATCCCACACAATGACCAATTTTGTTTAAATTTTGGTATAAAGGCAAGAAATAATAATCACCCGATCCACAATTAGTGTGTCCTCAGATGACACTTAATGACAGATGACACTTAATGACAGATGACACTTAATGACAGATGACACTTAATGACAGATGACACTTAATGACAGATGACACTTAATGACAAATGACACAAAATACAAACGGAGTTTATAACATTGGCAGTTTAATTTTCAGTGTGATACACTGGGTTTCATAAAGGCATGAATTTGTATTATTTTATTGATATTGATAAATACATTTATCCCGAAAGATCTTCGCGATTCATTGAAATTCAAAATGATTGAAATTACAGTGGTTCTTTAGCTGAAATAAATTTCAAAGCATTCAAGTAAAAGTAGTACCTGCATCGTTTGGCACAGGTCGATAAATTGCCAGAGAGAGACAGGACTCACGCAGTGTAGTTCTAAAGTATTCATCCGCTAAGGTTTGTGATTAGTCAAGGCGTTTTCAATCGCCATTTGAAATTTATAAGCATTTATAAATATTTTATATAAAACATTTTCACACCTTCATGAAACTCGGTGTATATTAAGAAAAGTAATGATCATACTTGCAGCATACAAATCTGAATATAGCCGTCCGTTGTTTTCATGAATATAACAGTACGAATAGAACACTCGAAAGGAATTTTATAAATTCCTCTAGTACTTCTATTCCTTTAGAATTTCTCATTGAAGTTTCAGACCAAGGTTGTTCTTCAATGTTACACCTTCTCCCTCAATTTTAAGACATTTTTTTTCTTAGTGGCAAGGTGAGAGCATTCAACGACTGACCTGTTAATGTAACTCACTCTGTTGTTCGTCTACATTAAAAAGTTACAAAAGTACTTTTCCACTACTTTCAACAAAATAAATAAATACGGAAAGTGGTTCTACATGTAATGTTGTCATTTTGCTTTAATGGGTTAATTACTTGTTAGAAACTTTTAAATATATTTTGAGAATATCGTTAGTTTTGACTTCTCGCGCCCTCGGCGTCCAACATGTTACCATACTTTCTAATGGGGTCGCTCTTTGTCAGCAATAAGTAAACACCTTAGAGTCAGGGCCGTTCGTTGGCATCATAAATACTGCTGTGAACAACGTGAATATAACGACTGCGCCGAAAGTTAGCCATTTGCCGAAGATTTATTTTAGTGCTAACCGTTTAGTGTCAAATTGTTATCGTTACTCATTAATGGCTTTTAATTTCACTGCTTAGTACGTAAACAGACATCAATTAACGCGAGCCACTGTTTGACATTGTCACGCGACAGGGACAAGGTCAGTTTAAGGTCGAAAGGGATGATGGCGGGGAAGGCCATGGTGCACTCCAAATGTGTGAGGTCCTACATTCGAACGGTCGGTATCTCGTTTCTGATTTGTGTCGTATTGGTATCACATAGTCGATCGCACCCGCAATGTCTGGACTTCTTTCCTCCGTTCAAGGCGACCCGAGACCTGACGTTTTGCCGGGAATATTCCGATTTTGGGTGCTGTACGTCAGTCCGCGACGGCGAACTACGCCAAAAATACAATAACCTGATAGACCAGTTAGAGGCGATATATCCTGTGTTGCCTGTGTGCAACAGCTACGTCAAGGACATCCTGTGCCAGGAATGCTCCCCGTATGCGTCGCATATTTTTGATGCCGAGACGACACAGATAATTGCCCCGTTGCCTGGACTATGCACGGCGTATTGCCTTGACTTTGCTCATTGTGGACACGTTGTTAGTTTTCTCACCACCGATCAACAATTACAGTCATCGCTGGACGTTTCCCTTGAATATTTCTGTGAATTGGTGGAAATTGGGGACATGGATTATTGCTACCCCGATATCGTACAAAACGACGTGTTCATCCACGAGTTGGTGACTGCAGGTGAGGGCGAAGGGTGTATTTGTGTGCAAGAATTCGCCAATGGTTTGCGGAACCCGCTAGCCGGTGTGCACGCCGGGGACGGAACTCATCGGTTTTTCATCGCCGAGCAGATCGGCGTTGTCTACGTGTTCCTCAAAAACGGCACTAAAATCAATGAACCGTTTCTTGACATTCGCTCCGAGGTTTTGACAAGTTCTAGACGAGGGGACGAAAGGGGGTTTCTCGGACTTAGTTTTCACCCCGACTATGAAAATAACGGTCGCCTGTTTATATATTATTCTGTGGGAACGCTGAGCGATCAGAAAATACGAATAAGTGAAATGAGAGTTAGCAGTGACGATATGAACAAAGCGGACACCAGCACAGAACGGGTGTTGCTAGAAATTGACCAACCAGCACCAAATCACAACGGAGGACAACTTTTGTTTGGGGAGGATGGGTATCTTTATCTTTTTGTTGGCGATGGAGGAAAAGGCGGCGACCCGTTTGGTGAAATTGGAAACGGCCAGGACCTGTAAGCATGAGTGTATTTTCAGGAGAAAAAAACTTTTTTACTGCAATGACCAATATTTTTAAATTGTTAAAATGTATCTAATTAATAGTGCTATGTAAAAAACATTGTTTACAAGAAATTCCACCACCGCTCAACAAACATAATAATTATGGATATTTATTTTTCAGCGAAACTCTTCTTGGAGCTGTACTGCGAATTGATATTGATGGAGAAGAAAATGGACGACCATATAGGATTCCCTCAGATAACCCATTCCTCAACGTCTCAAATGCAAAGCCTGAAATCTACGCGTATGGTACTCGCAACATGTGGAGGTGCTCGGTAGATCGGGTGATGATGTCACAGGTGAAGGAAGAGGTCGGATATTCTGTGGCGATGTTGGGCAGGACTCCTATGAAGAAATTGACATCATTGAAAAGGGTGGAAATTTTGGATGGAGAATGAAGGAAGGGTTCAGTTGCTATGACGATGATATGTGTACGGATGATGCAATGGGTATGTTACTATAAACAATGATTTCAAGAGAGACAAATTTTTGTAGCAGTGAAAATTTCACTTTTTTTTTTTAAGGTTATTCACTTTTCTTTAGTCACAGTGACTTTTTGTAAATTTATTGCATGCGAAGGCACTCTGATTATCAAAACATGACATTCTCTCAGTGAAATTTTAAATTTACACTATACGCTCAGATTACCCATGAATTATAACTGAATTATTGCAAATATTTTTAAATGTACATTCAAAATAAGAGGTTGGGATACTATTTTGTACCGCTCAATATGCATGAAACTGCAGTGGTTGCTGATTGAACAATACTCGGGTCATTATATTTATTTTTCCACAGGTCAAAAATCCGCTAAGATTAGTCTGACTGATTACAACCATCATTTTGAATTTCTAAATGGTTTTTGACACCAGTGGGTTCTCTGAAATGAGTGTATTGACTCAGTTGCATAAACAACCCACCACTTTATGCCAGTATGCCAGTTGTCTTCTCAGTGGGAGTCATAGTTGTATGGTTCGATGTTACATGATACATGTACTATATTTGTTGGCAACTTGTCAGAGGATGTTGGTTAAAATCAATCATAGAAATGCAATATTTCCTCGAACTATTCTAAACCTTGACCTAAATCCATGTTTGGTTCATTCCTCCACTGATTCATTCTGTGATGTGTTTGGTTTGCGGTAGTAGTGGTCACATTTACTAAACCACATGTTCATGCAATTTTTTGCAAATTTTAACATTTTTCTGTAATTAGTTCCCATTTCAGTGACTATTAATTTGGGTTCCATCCGTCTATCTAGAGTATTTCTTGGACATGCTTTGACCAATCAAATTAAACTGAACACACAGATGATAACTTACATATGCACATCAATTTTCATTACAATTTTATTCAAACTTTGTATTTATGGTCATGCTTATTTTCTTGCAGATGCATGTCATATTTTTTCAAGATTTGAACAAAAATGGTCGACTGGTGGCCGTTTTGTTTTTATTCTTGTCCATCCTGATTCTCCACTAATATATCGTCTGATTCAGTTGAACCTACTATACTCACAGGTTGTGTTATTTTGTGAGACTTGATCAAATTTGTCGAATTGACAGTTATTTTGTCTAAAATTGCATTTTGTAAATGTGTCTAGAATAATTTCCTGCAAATAAACAGGGCTTTGTGTCAGGATCTTACATACTGGGTTACAGACGCATGTCATTTTACATGTAACAACTATTTCTCTGAGATGGCTTGCATGATTTTGTTCAAACAGTTATATATATATATATATATATATACACTGGATTGTTTTGGCACATTACAAAACGGACTTATGAATTGACCTCTGTGTATGTGTCTGGACCTATATCTTAGACATGCCTGGACTGATTACATTCAAACACATACATAATATTATACATATGCACATCAATTTGTTTCACTATCTGATTCAAAAA